TCGAGAGCATCCTGGCGTCTCAAGTGTGTCGAGTGTCTCGGAGGAGGATCCTGTTTTCACGATCTGCCTCCGTTTACTCAACAGGGTCACCTACCCGTTCCTGAGCGACGGCGTGGCTTCCATGCTATCAAACATGGTGGAGTCTCAGTATGACCCGCTGGGGCTTGTGGAGGGCGACCTGGACTATCGCGATGAAGATGAAAAACGAAACAAGGACGTTAGTTCGTATGCAAAGTTGTCGCTTACCGCGAAGCGCGACAAGTTGTTGCAGAACGCCCGTAAAGCACTAGCGTACGCGCCGGGTGACAAGGAAGAAGAGTGACGCTGAGAGTGACGTTGGTGGCAGTGGTGAGGGCCACTAGGCGATCAAGGTGGCGAGACGGAAACATCCAAGAAACGAGCACGTGAAAACCAAGAGGATGAAGAAGCCGTCCCACTAAACGCGCCAAGTGATCCAACAAGACGCCCAAGCCCACACGGAGGCAGTAACAGTACGTGCCTGGTGCCTGCAGCAACTACCGGTAGTTTTAACTACCAACAATTTGTTTTACTTGAGAGTACGCAGCCACCTCCAGTACGCTTCACCTTGCAGTCTTACGGAAGTAGCACGTCTTTTGCTGTCTACGTCGTCTTTACTGCTCTACCTACTCGTCCTGCAGGAACGGGTATTATAGTCCATGTACCCGCGCGCGTCGCCGAGGTAGAACGTGTCCGTGTCGTAGTCGTTCACGGGCTTGTTGAGTTGGAAGCGCCGCACCAGGTCCGGGTTCGAGATGAAGTGGCGGCCGATGGCCACGGCGTCGGCCGCGCCCTCCTCCACGATCTGCACGGCCGACTGCCGGTCGAAGCCCGACGCGGCGAGGAGCACGCCCTTGTACGTCTCGCGGAACTGCCGCGCCGAGCCCTTCTCGGGTGCCAGCGGGTCACGCACGTGGTAGCCACGCGGCTCGATCAGGTGCGCGTAGGCCAGGTCGTAGTTGTTGAGCCTGTTCAGCACGTACGTGTACGTGGCGATGGGGTCCGAGTCCTTGTCGCCGAAGCTGCCGCCGAACGGGGACAGTCGGATGCCCACCTTGGACGAGTCCAGACTCTCGAGGATGGCCTCCAGTGCCTCGAACAGGAAGCGCGCGCGGTTCTCGACGCTGCCGCCGTACTGGTCGGCGCGGTCGTTGATGCCGTCGTGCAGGAACTGCTCCAGCAAGTAGCCGTTGGCGGCGTGCAGCTCGACGCCGTCGAAGCCCGCGCTGATGGCGTTCTCCGCGGCCGAGCGGTAGTCCGCCACGATGCCCGGGATCTCGCTCGTCTCGAGCGCGCGCGGGGGCACGGGCTCCATGCGTCCTTCGCGCGTGACGATCTTCTTGCCGGCGCGCAGGACGCCGCCCGGCTGGGGCCGATGCGGCCCGTGTGGTCGTATCTTACCTATGGTATGTACCGCATCGCCGAAGTTATTGTTCGCACA